ATTACATTAAAGTCGTAACATTACGAGAATAAAGCCATAATATTACATTAAAGTCGTAACATTACGAGAATAAAGTTGTATGAAAATTAAGCTGTACTATTACAAGATTAAAGTCATAGTATTATGAGATTAAATTTATAATATTATGAGAATAAAGTTATAATATTCCGAGAAAAAAGTCAAAATATTCTGAAATTAAGGTTGTAATATTAAAGTGGTACTATACCCTTTACACAAAAAGCAGTCTTACCACTGCATTAAAATGAGGAAAGTTGAGCAAATTGTGAAGCTGTTCTTTAATATCAATTAAAAAATACTTAATCTTTTAGCACATTAGCTTCAAATTATCAGTAGCAGGACTTTGAATTGATAGCGCAAACAACTATATGATAAACTGAAGCCATATTGTAATTAATGGCTGCATTGACAGATTTAGTCATCACGTAATTTGGATGGAAGCATTTTTCACTAACAGTGACCAAAAGTCATTGCAGACTACTTCAACAGAGACATGCATGACTGTCCACAGCAGGTGTGAGGAAAGTGATGACGAAATGATGAAAAAATCAGGAACGTAAAATGTCATGTAAGATTCTGATATTTTTCTCATAATATTTTGATTTTTTTCTCTCTTAAAATTACGACTTTTATCTCGTAATATTATGACTTTAATCTCGTAATATAACTTTATTCTCGTAAAATTAAAACTTGAATCTCGTAATGTTATGACTTTATTCTTGTAATAAAAAAATCTTGTATGGCCCTTATACTCCATCGTAAGGTCCCAATGTCCCAAAATGGTGGGAAAAAATATTCGCTACAAAATACATGTTCCTTTTTCTGTTTGTTAGCATAATATCTTGTGAACCACTATATGAACTTTAATGAAACTCGTAATCAAGTGTACATCCACAACTGGTTAACTTTTGGAGTCACCACCCAAACCCAAATTGCCACCTCATTATATTATGATAATATTTTATTGTCTATTTATCTATAACTCAGTCAATCTAACAAATATTGAGGTAAAAATATTCCCAGAGGCATTGTCATGCTATATTGTAAACACACACAGTCTTTATTTATAACTTTGGCATGCAAAGTGGTGGTTGATATGCATTTCTTAACGTAAGATTACATTTTTATCCGACTGCAATTCATGCTGCCCATTATTAGATAAGAACTTGACAAATTTTACATATAGCCTTGTAATCGTATCGTCTTTTATACCGTGTCATTTTCCTCCCCTGTTTTATGAGTTCCCTTCTGTATTCCTTTGTCTGTCTTAGACAGTTTAAGTGATAGTGAGCAGTCATTGTTTGGGCAGGGGTCTTTTAGAGCATTGTTTAAAGGCCGGTTCGGCTCACCTATGAGGGAGGAGATGCTTATTTAATTTGTTTAAAGGCTAAAATGTTACACATCATGAATCCAATTTTCTCAGCCTTTTCTCTCTGAAGGCAGGGATTAAAGCAGAGCTGTCAGCTGGCACGCCAGATCTTAAGACAGCCCGCAGATATCCGTAATACTACGCTCAGCTGATGGTATCTAGCCTCTCCCTGCTTTTAATTTGGCATTAGGCTTTGCAAGCAAAATCACAAGCAGTTTCAATTAAATAGGTAACCCAGTGCTGTCGGTTTGCAAAAAAAAAAAAAAAAAAAAAAAGAAAAAAGAAAACAACCTCTTCAAGGGGTAAAAGAACAATCATGGTTGCTGAAAAGAAATGAAGCAAGATAATAGTCTGGAGATAATTGTCTTTGAGTACTAGAAGAAGTGAGAGAAGCCTTTTGTTTTGAGTGGAGTTTTGT